ATTACATGCAGCTATCATGCCAGTGATTTCTCCTTTCGTCGCATAGTGAATAGTTTGTGAGCACATCCTCGACTCTCGAAACATTTGTCTTGCGCCGCTATAGAAGTTGCTTCTCCCGCGAACCATAGGTATATTTCCCGCTTAACATAATGTTTGATAATTTATGCAAGAGTTGACCTCGTGAAAGTCAGCAGTGCATTAATCGACTCAAAAATAAACAGACTTCCTACAGGGTTTTGAACACGGTTTTAATTAAAGTACTTTACGAGCGCTGCGGTAGTTGACCGCAAAAGTGTTACGGTGATGGATACTCAACTGGATGATTACGTCACAACATAGCAACCAGACGGTACGAATTTTTTAACTTCCGGAGCGCTGAGGCTCGTAGTGGTACGTGCTTGAGGAACTGTTACATTATCCCTTTGCTTCCCTCCAAGCAAAGAGTTAGAACGTACTTATCAAAATGATTTTTAATAAAGACAAATTCTTAAATTAAGTTTTCTGATAGAAATCTTTACGAATTTTGGAAATAGTACTTAATATGTAATCTAAGTTAGAATTCTATTTGAGTGTTACAGTGTATGTACTGTATATTTCATGACTTATAGTTTCTAGACACCAACTTTGTATCAAAACATCCCATATGAATATACTATATATAAAAGTGTATTCGTCTATACCACCGATTTACATATTTTTCATTATAAATCACTATTTACTCTTAAAACCTCCCTCAGTATTACATTTATTTAAATAAAAATTATTTTCAAAGTATTGTAATCATAGCAAAATAAACCTCTACTTGCAGGTGGTATACCAGTTGGCTGTTTACAAGCGTGTCTGAACAATTGGAGAAACAAATCCAGTCAGTTGCCAACACAAGAACTTGAGTCAGCGGCGACCGAGTTCAATCTATCGCCCTAAGCCATTTTGTGCCAAGTTGCTTACAGAAACAACACAGTTTACTCGGTCTTCTTGTATCAAAAAAATAAATTATGCTACGATCTATTTTGTGAACTTGTAATGAAGGTCACAAAAGGTTGAAAGATGCCAGAAAACGAAATTGCGCTACCCTCTTTATCAATTTAAATTTTATGAAACCTTTGTGTTCTATACTACACATAGTTGATGCTCAAGTACATAAGTCAAGTTACAACCTTAGGCAGCTGTTACAATACTGAATTAACTTTCCTTTTTTCGTTATCGATTTTTCCACTCTCACTTTACCGAATAAGGTCATTTATACCAGCTGAAGTAAGTTTTAATAGCCCATTTTACAGTTACAGTTGGAAACAAGGCTGGAGTTGATCTTGTTTTGATACAACCTTTCTTGGTTTATTATGTACATCATGTTGTTGTTACGCTAACTAGATATAGTATTTCATGTTGTTGTTACACTAACTGGTATTTCTAATGCAAAATTTGCATTAGAAAAGGAAGAAGGTTTGTATCAAAACAAGGTTAACCTCAGCCTTACCTTTACTCTAAGGCTAGGACACCAAGCCCACAACTGTAAAATGGACTACTGTTCAGTACAGAAGTACCTTATTGTCCAGTCGTGCTGTGCATCTCATGATCTTATTTTCTTTCCGTAAAGGTCGTGGACGTGAACACTGTGTCCCAGTGAAGGTGTATCCAAATGCCATAAAACTCACTAAGAACTGTTTACTTTTTTAGGTACGACCAATGCTGTGGAAACGGTGTGTGTGTGCTCAACAATCACTATTTTCCCCAGTCCCTCTGTTAGCAAGTCACCCAGTATTTTAATGAGTCCAAGTACATCTGTCAGAGTGTCACCCAGTACATCAACTAGTGTTTTAGCAAGTCCTTCAGTTGGTACGTCAACCAGTGTGTCACCAAGTACGTCAACTAGTATCTCAACCAGTGTGTTACCCAGTACATCAACTAGTGTCTCAGTAGGTCCCTTAGTCAGTACCAGTATGTCACCCAGTACCAGTGCGTCAGTCAGTGTTTCACCCAGTGTCTCCACCAGTGTCTCAACAATTGTTTCAGCCAGTGCATCAACCAACGTCTCAGTCAGTGCGTCTGTTAGTACGTCACCTAGTGTCTCAACCAGTGCCAGTACGTCAGCCAGTGTCTCAACCAGTGCCAGCACGTCAGCCAGTGTCTCACCCAGTGACTCACCTAGTGTCTCAACCAGTGCCAGTACGTCAGCCAGTGTCTCAACCAGTGCCAGCACGTCAGCCAGTGTCTCACCCAGTGACTCACCTAGTGTCTCAACCAGTGCCAGTACGTCAGCCAGTGTCTCAACTAGTGTCTCAGTCAGTGCATCTGTTAGTACGTCACCTAGTGTCTCAACCAGTGCCAGTACGTCAGCCAGTGTCTCAACCAGCGTCTCAGTCAGTGCATCTGTTAGTACGTCACCTAGTGTCTCAACCAGTGCCAGTACGTCAGCCAGTGTCTCAACCAGTGCCAGCACGTCAGCCAGTGTCTCACCCAGTGACTCACCTAGTGTCTCAACCAGTGCCAGTACGTCAGCCAGTGTCTCAACTAGTGTCTCAGTCAGTGCATCTGTTAGTACGTCACCTAGTGTCTCAACCAGTGCCAGTACGTCAGCCAGTGTCTCAACCAGCGTCTCAGTCAGTGCATCTGTTAGTACGTCACCTAGTGTCTCAACCAGTGCCAGTACGTCAGCCAGTGTCTCAACCAGTGCCAGCACGTCAGCCAGTGTCTCACCCAGTGACTCACCTAGTGTCTCAACCAGTGCCAGTACGTCAGCCAGTGTCTCAACTAGTGTCTCAGTCAGTGCATCTGTTAGTACGTCACCTAGTGTCTCAACCAGTGCCAGTACGTCAGCCAGTGTCTCAACCAGCGTCTCAGTCAGTGCATCTGTTAGTACGTCACCTAGTGTCTCAACCAGTGCCAGTACGTCAGCCAGTGTCTCAATCAGTGCCAGTACGTCAGCCAGTGTCTCACCCAGTGACTCACCTAGTGTCTCAACCAGTGCCTATTCGTCACCCACTGTTCCGCCAAACAGTGTCTCACCTAGTACATCAGTCAGTACCTCGGCTACATCAGTCAGCATGTCACCCAGTACCTCAACTAGAGTCTCAACCAGTGCCTCGCCAAGTACATCAGTTGGTACCTCGGCTAGTCCGTCGACAAATACATCAGTCAGCATGTCACCCAGTACTTCAACCAGGGTCTCAGCATCTACATCCGTCCGTACATCAGCAAGCGTGTCACCCAGTACCTCCACTAACATATTAACCACTGTGGTTTGTCGTTGTTACGTGCCCAGCAGTACTGTGAATGCACCGCCATCTAGTTCTGTACCATCCACATCAGGTAGGTTGTTTGACTTGTTTATCATGGTTCCCAAGACATGTGTAATTTTCGAAAGATTCCTTTATGTTTCTCACTTTAAGAATATTTTTATCCATATTCGATCTGGCTTTTAAGTTTTATCCTTGAGTATTTAGTCTCCCTTGCAGCCTTTTTTGTTAGTGTCGTCACGCAACGCTCCTAGGAACAAGACGGGAGGAGTGTTGCGTGACGACACAAAAAACGGCTGCGAGGGAGAATATTGAGTATTGGGGTGATACAATTTTTGAAATCCCTTATGAATCAGCTGAATACCACTTATGAGAAGTTGCATCACTCATCAGTGATGAGAAAGAACGTAAATTGCTCGGTGATTAGTTTTTTCTTTAAAATAAAACAATAGCGTTTATGTTCGCCATGTTTTGAGCCCGACTCAGACTTATTTTAGCCGGAGCCGCTAGGTGAGGGTTAAAAAAATAAGAAAGACGAAAGAGCAAGAGGTGGTTAACGCCCTAATCAGGTACCATGAAGGGAGAATCGCTGAATGCAAAAAAGCTTAAGCGGCAAAAGAGAGCGATACTGAACCAAGGAACTGTAAACAAGAAATCAAAGGACAATAAGAACACTTATGAGCAAAATGTAAAAGAGGTAGCAGAAAACATCTGAAAAGAATACCTGTCCACTTACTGAGTTCAACTTACATAACATTAGGGTGTACAAGAAACCAACAAACTATCAAAATCAGCCAGTAAAAAGCGTAAAGAACACGAAACCTCAAAAACACAAGCTTGTAAAAGGGCACAGTTAGAAAGAAACAGGGGGCACATAAAAAATATCTCCAGCCAAAACATAACAGACCATGAAATAACTTTACTCACTAATATAAAGGGTTGCAATTTATACCCACACCATTAACAAAAGAACAACATATCAGGCGTCGACTTCTTCAAGATTTTGTGCAGTTTACAAGAAGAATGCGCCCAAATATATCTTTCAAGGATAACAAAACAAACCCGGCACATCCTTGCCACGTAAAATCAAACTGGATGCCACAATTTCAACCCTCAGTTGCTCTTGAGAGTTATCTTGAAGCCGGGTTAAATTACAACTGGCAGAAATTAGACATTCCAAATCCGACCCCGGCTAGGCGGGTTACCCCACCTTGAAACGTTTACATGGCAAAATTTGACCCCGGCTGAGAGGGTTACCCGGTCTGGTAGACCGGGCTACCCGCCTTGGCGGGTCACCCCACCTATCATGTAAACATGATCCAAGTAAAATTAGAGATTATATGGACAGGCGGGTTAGCCCACCTAAGCGGGTTACCTCACCTACCTGGGGTCCCCCACCTCCATGTAAACAGGCCCTGAATGGCAAAAAATTATCTTCAAACACATGGGACAGCGATGGGAACAAATGTCGATGTTGCTTTCGCAAATATCTTCACGACGACAGTAGAAACAGAGCTATTAAACAACAACAACAATAACGAGCTTTATTTGCATGACCATACAAGCACAAGTAGTATTGCAAAAGCTATTTTTAGGAATCAAAATTACAACACAGGGCAATTACGTTACTTTGATAATAATCTGTCACGAACATCAAAACAAGCTGAAATATATTTTATGAATTGTATATTGGTAAAGTAATTAGAAGAGTTCATCAGTTCATTGATCAAACCGTTTATAGGTAACTGTAACTGGGTAATATTTGGAATCAGTCTTGACTTTATAGTAAAATTTATTCCTAATCATAGAGTATGTAGGACATTGAAAAAAAAAGTGAACTTCGTCTTCTATAACATTGCATCCACGAAAAGGGCAATGCCTATTATCCTTCGTAGTTTGATTGTATCTGCCTATTTCTATCATAAGTTTGTGATTGCTTATTCGTAGTTTTACTTAAGCCCTTCCTGCCAGCTGTTCCTCTTGTTAAGTCTAAGTAACTAGAGAAGGTATGATCGGTTTAAAAAATCTATAAAATTCAAGTTTTTGAGAATGTTGAAGGTTGTTTTGCTAATATGAGATATATTTCTGTTTCATTGACCTTACCTAGCTTTTTGCCATAGCCATATCCAATAAATCAGGTTTAAAGGCACGAAGCTTAAAAGTATTCTGACATGTTCATTAAATGAGAGTAGAAGCCATTTTTGCCATTACAGTGTAAGTCGAATGACATTAAAAAAGCTTGTTTGACGAGGATTCCTCATCTTTAGAATGTATATACAAAATGTATTTGAGAATTTTTTGATTGATAGTGGTATTTAAAGGAAAACGACCAAGCTCTGCTCTACAAGCTACATTAGAAGCTTTGTTGTTTACCTCCAAGTATCGTTTACAAAATTGAAGGTGTTCCTTCTCGATTTGTGAGCCATCCCAGGTCTTAAAATCTGGTTTGGCATACACGCCCCAAATTTCACTGTTATATGTTAGAGTAGGGGGCATCATAGTATCAAATATGTTACAGGCGAGAGCTGCTTTTAGTTTGCTAAGATTCGTGTGTCGTCTCAAGCTGAAGAGGGCATGAAGAGGTTTCTCCATGAGATGTTCACGTGACACTGAAAAATTTCCCGATGAGGACATTCGAGTTCCTAAGTAAGTGTATTCTTGTACAACATCAATTATTTGACTATCTATGAGAAAGTGAAAATCAGCATTTTTTCTCGCACGTTTCTGAAAAATCATAATTTCTGTTTTCTTTGGATTGATTTTCATCATCCATGAAGTACAGAAAGAAGATAGTTTATCGAGTCAATTTTGTAGTCCTGTTTTGGATCGTGATAAAATGATTAAATCGTCTGCATATAACAGAGAATTTAGTTTTGAACCGTTTGGCATAACAAAACGATCAGATAATGTATTTTCAAATGCGAAAGGTAGGTCGTTAATATAAAGATTAAAAAACACTGGACGTAAGATACAGCCTTGCCGCCACCTCTCGCATAACGGAATGATCGCGTTTGTTTTTGGGCAATTTTAATTGAGCAGGAACAGTTGTGACTTAAGCTTTTAGTTAAGTTATAAAAAGAACTACCAAGATCAATTTGCAGCAGCTTATTCAAGAGACCGTCATGCCACACCGAATCAAAAGCTTTTTGGAAATCTACAAAACAAGCATAGATCTTTTCGTTGTGATTATGAACGTACTTATCTATCAAGAGAGAGTGAAGACTTGGTCTGCTGTGCGGTTATTCGGTAAAAAGCTAATTTGAGATTTGTGGAGTATATTCAAAGAAACAATAAACAAAAGTGCAATAATGACAATATGTTGGAAAATATATAAAGAAGACGTCTTCGCCCGGGGCAGGTACTCCCTTGTATAGGCTATGTGGGTATGTGCGCCTCCTGATGGTATGGTTTTTTAGCCGTTTTGGTCTGAAACAGGTTATCAATTTTGACCATTTTGGTCTGAAATAGGACATGGTTTATGCACTCTAGTCTTGACTTGGGTATGGTTTTTTAGAAGAAGCTACTTCTTCGTCATTAGGCGATAAGACCATTTCCCTTTTAATGTTTACGCTAACCGTGTACGTGCCGTAACAGTACAGTTTTGTATCCTACTTAGTAAAAGTGTATAAACATTTCCCTTAAAATTGGTCTGACCTCGGGAAACTGATTATAAGGCAGGTCTGAAATAGGGTATCAAATTTTTGATTAGGTCTGAAATATGGTAGGGAAAATCACAGATTTTGGTCTGAAATAGTTTAAGGGTTTCAGGAATCGTGCCGCACACCCCCACCCCATTTTTCTCGAAGTGCCCCCCCCCCCCCCCCCCC